TTTGCTGTTTTGCAGCTTCCTGCGCGGACGGTGTGCAGAATTCTCAGCCCCCTTGAGGGTCCTGCTGGGGCAGTAAAGTGGGGACTTGTACAAAACAGCAGATATTCTGGTTTTAGCCAACGGATCTTTCATTCTTCCACCAACACTGCCGTGGAGTAAACAAGTATTTTCACAATGCAAAGGCACAGCTTTTGCTGTTAAGGAAGGGGGGCTGCCTTTGCAGGAGCAGAGATAGCAATAGTGGTGGGACAGAAATATGGATCTCAAGAGATGCATTCTCGATATGGGGCAAGATTCACAACCCCAGAAATTCTTATTCAGCTCAAATTAATATCCAAGCAAGGCAAAGACTGAGGTTAGCTAACAAAGTAAACTAATCCAATGTGTTTCAATAGGGACAAACATATGGTTCTGCACTTAGGAAGAACCAGATGCACAAATATAAGACGGGGGACACCTGGCTTACTAGCAGTACATGTGAAAAGGAACTAGGGGTCTAAGCAGATCACAAGTTTAACGTGAGTCAACAGTATGATGCAGCAGCAAAAAACCACTGTTGTTATTCTAGGCTGCATCAACAGAAGTACCGTATTTTTTGCTCTATAAGACTCACTTTTTCCGTCCTAAAAAGTAAGGGGAAATGTGTGTGCGTCTTATGGAGCGAATGCAGGCTGCGCAGCTATCCCAGAAGCCAGAACAGCAAGAGGGATTGCTGCTTTCACTGCGCAGCTATCCCTCTTGTTGTTCCGGCTTCCGAGATTCAGAATATTTTTTTTCTTGTTTTCCTCCTCCAAAAACTAGGTGCGTCTTGTGGTCAGGTGCATCTTATAGAGTGAAAAATACAGTAATTGTGTCCTGATCAAGAGAAGTAATAGCATTGTTCTATTCTGTTTTGGTTAGACCACACCTAGAATACTGTGTCCAGTTCTGTGCATCACAATTTAAGAAGGATGTTGACAAGCTGAAACATGTGCAGAGGAGGGCAACCAAGATGATCAAGAGTCTGGAAACCAAGCCTTATGAGGAACAGTTGAAGGAGCCGGATATGTTTAACCTGGAAAGAGGAGACTGAATGGAGATACGATAGCCATCTTCAAGTGTCTAAAGTGTTGTCACATGAAAGATGGAGCAAGTTTGTTTTCTCCTGTTCTGGAGGGTGTGACTCAAACCAATGGATTCAAGTTACAGGAAAGAAGATTCCATCTGAACATCAGGAAGAACTTTCTGACAGTAAGAGCTATTCAACAATTGAACAGACTCCCTCAGAAGCTTGTGGACTCTCCTTCCTTGGAGGTTTTTAAGCAGAGCTTGGATGTCATTGATGTTGAGATTTCTTCATTGCAGGCTTTGGAATGAATGAGCCTTGTGGTGCCTTCCAACTCTATAATTTTACGATTCTATGGTTCTTGCTCTCTACACCTTGGCTTGCTGAATGGATGAAGAGGCCCCTCCCCCCACTTCTTCCCAATTCCTGTCACACTGTTACAGTTGGTTTCCCAGCATTCCTTTCACCTCACATGCAGCCATGGCAGTGTACCAGGAGTCAAATACCTCCCATCCCTTTCTATATATACTGCCGCTATCAGAACAGCAAGAAAGTCAAGGTGATGTTCGGGATGCAGGAAGGTAGGCAAGTGGGAAGAGCTTGGTGGGATGGAGGGGGGAATTAGACGCTGTTGCTCTCCTGGTGACACCAGGGGTGACATCACTCCTCAAGTGTATGGTGGTGGTGGTGGTGGTTATTACCCTGCCCATCTGGCAGGGTTTCCCCAGCCACTCTGGGTGGCTTACAACATACAGTCATACCTCGGGTTGAAGTAGCTTCAAGTTAAGCATTTTTGGGTTGCGCTCCACGGCAACCCGGAAGTGATGGAGCGCGTTACTTCCGGGTTTCGCCGCTCACGCATGCGCAGACGCTCAAAATGATGCCACGCGCATGCATGGAAGCGGCGAATCGCGACCCGCACACACGCAGACGCAGGTTGTGTTCGCTTCAGGATGCAAACGGGGCTCCAGAATGGATCCCGTTCACATCCAGAGGTACCACTGTATCTAAAAGCATAATAAAAACATCAATCTAAGTAGAACCTAAGAGGGTTAGAAAAAATAAATGGATGATAAGGCTATGTCCTGCCTTCACTGATGGACAGTTGCTGGGAATCACAAGTGGCAGGAATGCTGTTGCACTCTAGTCTTGTTTGTGGGCTTCCCACAGGCATCCGGTAGGCCTCTGTGAGAACAGGATGCTAGACTAGATGGGCCATTGCTCTGATATATCAGGCTCTCTGTCTGTTCTTAATCTTCTCTGGACTCAAGAAACAGAAATTTTGTTTCTCCAAGTGCTGTTGGGGGTTACTCGCCCCCAATTTGGAGGACATACACCTATACCATCCCCTTCATGGATTACTGCCTTGTTGCGGCGAAGGGGCTTGAATAACTCAGAGAAGATATGAGCTATGCCATGCAGTGCCACCCAAGACGGACAGGTCATAGCCGAGAGTTTAGACTAAATGTGATCCACCTGGAGAAGGAACTGGCAAACCACTCCAGTATTTTTGCCAAGAAAACTCCACGGACATAAAAAAAGGAGAAGCTTTGAGAAGAAAGTGAGAGTTTCCAAGGCGTGCTCTGGTTCACGGGGTCACGGAGAGTCAAACATGACTAAGACGACTAAACAACAACCACCACCTATACCATAAATTTCAAGTGTTGGGAGAAATGGACTTGGAAAGGACCACAGGGGTAATCTCATCCAGGAATCTTTTGCCCAACGTGGGGCTCAAACCTATGACCCTGAGATGAAGAATCTCTTGCTCTACCGTCTGATCTATTTCTGTCATGGCTCCCACCTTGAAGAAGCTTTGGGGATTGGAGATATCCAGACCTGATGTGGTGTGGTGACTATAAGCATGAGAACTGAAGTCCCCCGACTTCCTCACTACCATAAACTCACAAGGTAAGTGTAAAGGCTACTGTTTCAGCCTGACGTTTGCATTATGGGGAATGGGCTATCAAGGGGGATCCCAAACAAAATTTTGTGCTTTTGAATACGTAGAAGAAGACCAAAAAGAAAAAGAAAAGAGGCAAACACAAGCCCTCTGTTGGGGTCAAAACAGGCTGTGCAAAGCAAATGGGAAGCCACTGGGCATTTATTGCACAAGAAAAGCTTGAACGGAAAGAAGGATGTTTGATAGATTTAGCACCATTCAGGAATAATTACTCCTACTGCAGTCATTAAAAAAAGAGAGATGATTAAATCTCATGAACATTAAAATAATGCTGGAGTATAAGAAAAAGTTCAGAGTTTAAACAATACTGCACCGTGAGGCTCTTCCAAAGGAATAATGAAGTCCCTTGACGAGACTAAGTATTCTGCAAAGTTGCCATTCTTTTTGCTCACTCAGTCCGGTGACAAATTTAATACTATTTCCCTCCCCCCCCTCGGTTGTTTAGGAGATTTAGAACCATTTCCACTCTTTCTGAACGTCATGAAGACAGGAGAATAAAGGGGCTTGAAAGGCCAGCTCTCGTGACATTGCCGAGCGTAGATAAGACTTTTTAACCACGACGATGGGATCCATTTGCAATTTAATTTCAATAGGCTGCTAAGCTCTTAAATACATTAAGCGTATCGAGTGCCCTGGAAAAAGCCCACCCCCTCAGCCCCGGCCTTTCAATTTTGCTGCTTTCAAGAACAGAGTTTCCCCCTCGACTTTGAAGCCTCCAGGGCAAAGATTCACGCAGTGGAGCGTGATCACATGGTATTTCAGTTCCTACAGAGAACGGATCCCTTTTTTGCTTACATTATTTTCCTTTCCTTTTAAAAATCTAATTTAAGGTCATACAGTGGTACCTCAGGTACTTAATTCGTTCTGGAGGTCCGTCCGTAACCTGAAACTGTTCTTAACCTGAAGCACCAATTTAGCTAATGGGGCCTCCTGCTGCTGCCATGCCACCGGAGCACGATTTCTGTTCTCATCCTGAAGCAACCTGAAGCGTATGTAACCTGAGGTAGCACTGTACTAGATATGGTGGTTGCCAGGTACTATGATATCATATATTTGGTTTGGTGAATGTGGCACATCCACCTGGGATGGTAGCCCATCTAGGAGAAGGAAAACTCTGACCCTAAATTTCTGCTGCCTTGCAGGTTGCCTTCAGGAGAAGGAAAGGCTAAGGAGTAAACCCTACGCAAATCTGGAGTGGAGTCCCTAAGGTAGTTGGATGGTGCATTGTACGCCTCCTTCCGGCAACTCCTGCAGCCAAGCTGGTCCCAAACATATTGCTCTGCTTTCCTTTGGACCACATCTGTGAGGCTGAGCGGGGGGTGGTCCTGTCATCAAGACCTTCATGCACACTGCCCAGGCTTGCGCCTCGGGGAGAGCACTTTGGTGCCGCGAATGCACTCACCCCTGGAGGTGCACTCCATTGTCTCTCAAAACAGATGAATGCCAACAACATACCGTATTTTTCCGTGTACAGTGGTAACTCGGGTTAAGAACTTAATTCGTTCTGGATGTCTGTTCTTAACCTGAAACTGTTCTTAACTGTTCTGAACCTGAGGTACCACTTTAGCAAATGGGGCCTCCTGCTTCCCCGTACAATTTCTATTCTCATCCTGAAGTAAAGTTCTTAACCTGAGGTACTACTTCCAGGTTAGTGGAATCTGTAACCTGAAGTGTCTGTAACCCGAGGTACCACTGTATAAGACTAGGTTTTTCCCCTACAAAATAATGTCAAAAATTAGGGGGCGTCTTATACACGGATAGTGTCTCTCTCTCTCTCTCTCCCCCCCATTTTCTTAAATCTGAGTCCCCCAAAATAGGGGGCGTCTTATACATGGGGGCATCTTGTAGACAGAAAATACGGTACCTATATACCGCTGTATCAAAAAAGTTTATCACAGCGGTTTACAACAATATGGAAACATAAAATAGGACAGCAAAATCGTAAAAGGTTTTGAGTCCACCAGAACGCTTGATCAGGCTGGATGCGGAAGGGCCGTAATTCGATGGCAAAGCATCTGCCTTGCATGCAGAAGACCCCAGGTTCAAATCCTGCTATCTCCAGGTAGTGTTGGAGGACAGAGCTGCTGCCGTCGGTATCGACAATACTGAGCTAGATGGACTCAGTGCAAAGCATCTTTCTAGGTGGCAGGTAGCAGTTATAGGACTATTGCTGGTTTGGAGGTGAACACCAATATAGGCTCCCCAGCTCTTCTGTCCTGCAGCTGCACCAGGAGAACTGCAGACTGTTGAGGAGCCAGAAGGCTGAATCAGTTAGCCACACCCTGGAAAGCAACTGCAGGGACTCTGCCACAGCTGTAGCTGCTTCAGGGGATAAACCTATTGGGTGGCACTTGCTTGTGGGTGGCAGCTGTGTTTGTGGTTGGCACACAAATGCAACTCCTGAATGCCAAAAGTGTGATTCATGGTGCGCCAGGGCTGTTGCTGTTTTCTACTTTTAGTGATTTATTGTACTTTTGTAATTGTATTCACTGTAGTTTTATCATATTTTCTTTTTGTATTAATCTGTTTGCCGCTTTGGGAGAAATATGGTTTAGTGCTTGGCCTTCAAGCCATGGACACATGATGCTTACTTATGACAAGTTCACATCCTGATGCTCAAAAGTAACCAAGAGGCATCGATGTCAGCCGAACATTGAGCTGCACATGGAGATTTATATTCCTAGTGATTTCCTGCCCGAGTTGCACTTTATAAAATACAGAACTAAGATCTCTCCCCCCCCCCCGGAAGAAATGATTTAAACAAATGGCGGGTGAAGAAAACTGAAGTACACCTGGGTTAACTGCTCATGGCTACAATGCAAAGCAAAAAAGGAAAGAAAAGAAAGCAATGCACCAGATAATTAAGCATCAGAGGAAGGAAACTTGTTCTTTAATACTCTAGCATGTTAATGCTTTTTCCACCTGCAGGAACAATCACAGGATGCGCAAACCACTATCAAGTACTTTTGATTTCCACTCTGATACTGTGATTGCTTCTCATGAACTCTACATACATCAGTGAAATGGCCCTCTTCTCCTTCACACAACACAGAAGAGATGTCGCCCATGGGTCAGCAAGTTAAGGCCCGCGGGCTGGATCAGGCCCAATTGCCTTCTAGATCCAGCCCATGGATGGTCTGGGAATGCAGGGAGCCAGCATAGCGGGTGAGAGATGGTTTTTGTGATTCAGCCAAGCTTGGGGGTCAAAAGTGAGGCGGTCAGCTGCTCAAGAAAGCCCATTCTCCGTTCATCACTTGTGCACAGCAATATTTTCTTCCCAGGTGGGGGTTGGGGAAGAGGGAATGGGAACCACAGTTCGGATTTCCTGACTTTGCGTGGCCAACAACTTTTCCCTTAACCCACGCAAGTGCACACGCTCTCCAGGGCTGACGGGAATGGCGCATTTACCTCAGCCCCCACCTCGCCTTACGAGAGAAATAATAACTGTCAACACATAAAACGCAAAGGAAGCAGCGTGGGTGTATGAGGGAACACCCCCACCAAAAAAAATCACATTTGGGCAACGTTGGGGTTGGTCCCAATAAGGGTTTTTGCCAAAAATGTGGGTCATAATCATGGCAACATATAGTCTGGCCCCCCACAAGTTTTGAGGGACAGCGGACCGGCCCCCTGCTGAAAAAGTTTGCTGACCCCTGATGTAGCCCAATGAGAACAGGCTTATTGCACTCAGCATATGCAGAAATAATCCAAAGTCCTTGACATACTTATGATAACAGAGGATACAAGAGCGGCCTACAACAAAATGTTGTGGTGTTGAGTGCTTCTTTTAGCCAGCCATCGTATCTTCCAGGACTACCTTTCCTGTCCCCGTTGCCCAGTCACCAGCAGTGAGTTGGTGAGATTTCTGCACCTACTGAGAACACACTCCATTCTCATTGATCTGTTTTGTTTGTGGTGGCATGGGGTGGGAAAAATTTCTCCCCTTGTGCTTTCTTCTAGAGTTTTTTATACACTTCTGTAGTTCCTGGGGCACCCACCCGAATCCACGCCTCTTGTGCACTGTTAAGGTATCATTCTGGCGACATAAGAATCTTACTTTCCCTACTAGCTCATTCGTCTGTAACGCAACATTTCTAACAAATAGACCTTTACAGCAGAATGGGGTGTCTGTATGGGTGTTTGTGAAGGTGTACTGGGTGGTTTCATGATGTCATAAACAACGGCATGAGCTTTGGGGTGTGATTAGTTCAATCCCATTTTCAGTACAATTAACTGCTTAATTGTACACCTATATGTAAACAGAAGTGCACATGCTAAGTTATTTTAAAGGATGCATTTTAAAGCTCTCTTGCCGTGTAAAGGTTTTTTTTTTTTTTTTAAAGCAATTTATTGGGTTTTACAATAAGAATAAATGTAATAAACAATATAGCATTCGTCTTAACATAATTTCACATTTTCTTTGGACTTCCTCACATCTCCCACTCCCACCTTCATCATTATAACATTTTGTCAGCAATTTATCATCTTATTTAAATTCTTATATCTCTTCGATATTTCATAATCTTAAAGTTCTCATAAAGAGTTAAACTTTCACAATTTTTCTTGTTTCCTTAAAAATTTCTAAGTTAAGTGGTGCTCAGTTATTTAGTCCAGCATCTTATTCAGCATTCAACTTGCCGTGTAAAGGTTTGTTTCAAATTATCCAGTTAACTAAGGAAAGACCTATATGCTTCTTGATGATCTTTAGCTTCTTTACTGAAATTAAGTTGTTTTGATTTAATCTGCAGGCTTCAGCATTTTTTTAAAAAAAAGGAATAGAAAACATGGCTGGAACAACTGTGATCAGGTGTGGAGAACCCTTTGTTCTCCAGATTTTGCTGAGCCACAACTCTCATCAGCCACAGAAAGCACAATCACTATGGAACATCATGAGGTTTCATTCTGACTTAAACATGCTTGGGATCAAACTGATAAGTAGTTTAAATCTCAGACCTTCCAGTTTAACCAGAATATAGATTACTATCTGGTTTGGTTTAACTTTGGAAATGCAACTAGAAAGGGCTGTGGCATTGTTGGTGGCACAATCATCTCTTAATTCAAACTCACTTAACGTAGCTATTGATGGGTAACCCTAAGCAATGATAAACCTAGACAGCATCTTAAAAAGCAGAGACATCACCTTGCCAACAAAGGTCTGTATAATTAAAGCTATGGTTTTCCCAGTAGTGATGTATGGAAGTGAGAGCTGGACCATAAAGAAGGCTGGTCGCCGAAGAATTGATGCTTTTGAATTATGGTGCTGGAGGAGACTCTTGGGAGTCCCATGGACTGCAAGAACATCAAACCTCTCCATTCTTAAGGAAATCAGCCCTGAGTGCTCACTGGAAGGACAGATCCTGAAGCTGAGGCTCCAGTACTTTGGCCACCTCATGAGAAGAGAAGACTCCCTGGAAAAGACCCTGATATAGGGAAAGAGGACGAGATGGTTGGACAGTGTTCTGGAAGCTACCAGCATGAGTATGACCAAACTGTGGGAGGCAGTGGAAGACAGGAGGGCCTGGTGTGCTCTGGTCCACGGGGTCACGAAGAGTCAGACATGACGAACCGACTAAACAACAACAACATCCCTAAGGTAACACGAGTTGGCGCACTTTCGGCCACGGCCAGATTCCCACCCAACACAGCCATGTGAATGGAAAGGCAGTGTATATTCCAAATAAGCAAATCAAAAAATCTCCAGGTCCCCAAACAGCAAAAGATGATCCCAGGCTGAGAAAAACAGCAGTGTGAAAATGTCTGCTATTTTCCTTCAGCCAAACAGTTCATAACCTACAGCATCCAATCATCCTTTGCAGCGTATGATGTCAAAAACACTTACTGCACAAGCAGAGATCTGTGTTTCTTTTGCCACAGACAATAAATCTTTAGTGTCTTCTCCTGATACGCATCACTCCACTTGATCTCAAGAGGCACCAAACGTCTCTCCCTTCCTCTTTCCAACAAGGTCACTTTCTACAGGCTATGCAACTTTGCCAGACTATATAGGCATGTTTGATAATTAATATATGCTGGTAACTTCATCCCAAACCATCTTTTAAGTGCTTTGAATGGCTTCATTTATCCATAGCAGTCTTCATCAATCTGGTGCCCTCCAGATTTTTTGGACTACAACTCCCATCAGCCCCAGTGAGCGTGTTCTGACTTGGGCTGATGGGGACTGTAGTCCAGAAAAACCCAGAGAGCACCAGGTTGGAGAAGGCTGATGTACAAGAGCTACCATGACACTCATGACCAGAGAACTGGGTCCGTCTTTCTAGGGACATTTATCTCCAAAAGAGGTGTGCTCACCTCTTATTTGTTTAAACTGTAATTGGGATATGTTCTTTATACTGAAAGAACTGAAACTGAAACTGACACATACATGGAGTCCTTAATTGGGCCCCACCTTGGTGGGTATCAGAGATAAAATTGGACATCAAAGAGCAGGTTTCTTAGTCTTGCTGGGCCTAGAACATTTCATGTTTCATAGCTTACAACCAACGCCTTGCAGTGTGCTGGAAACAGATATTTGCACCTGCCAAAACTAAGATCATGGCCACTGGTCCCATCACCTCCTGGCAAATAGAAGGGGAAGAAATGGAGGCAGTGAGAGATTTTACTTTCTTGGGCTCCATGATCACTGCAGATGGTGACAGCAGTCACAAAATTAAAAGACGCCTACTTCTTGGGAGAAAAGCAATGACAAACCTAGACAGCATCTTAAAAAGCAGAGACATCACCTTGCCGACAAAGGTCCGTATAGTTAAAGCTATGATTTTCCCAGTAGTGATGTATGCAAGTGAGAGCTGGACCATAACGAAGGCTGATCACCGAAGAATTGATGCTTTTGAATTATGGTGCTGGAGGAGACTCTTGAGAGTCCCGTGGACTGCAAGAAGATAAAACTGATCCATTCTGAAGGAAATCAGCCCTGAGTGCTCACTGGAAGGACAGATCCTGAAGCTGAGGCTCCAATACTTTGGCCCCCTCATGAGAAGAGAAGACTCCCTGGAAAAAAACCTGATGTTGGGAAAGATGGAAGGCACAAGGAGAAGGGATGA